CTCGGAGCGAGCACCTGCCGGATCCGTGCACCGCAGGACCCCCGAACGCAGCACCAGGCCTCTGTGGGTTCGAGGTCAACCTGAGCTACGGTGTCAAACTATCCTCAGAATAAACAAGTCAATCCAAGAATGGAGCCAAGGAACTTTGCCAAATCTTGTCACTCTTCTCTTTATTCTAGAGCTAAATACTTGGGGTAACATTGATGAAACTTTTGTCGTTACCGTTCAACACAACACACACACACACACGCGCGCGCGCGCGCACACACATACACACACACACACACACACGCACACACACGCACACACACCTACACCTTTTTTGCTATTTACCGTTTGTTGAGAAAGTAGCAAGAGCAAGCCCCGAGGGAGGGGAAACGTCTCGAGTTACAGGTTTCTCCTAATTGTTTAAGCGCCCCTGACAACAGAACTATTTGGTTTTCCCATCCATGTTTACACTGTCATCTTGGTCTCCCGCGGCATCAAGCATTTGTGAGTGGATTTTTATCTGGCTTCTTGGACACCACTTACTAGTAAACAACAGCTTAGAAAGGGATTTAAAAGCTCGGCTAGGAGGCAAAGGCCCCTGGGTAAGTATAAAAGCATACATTAGTTCTAATACACCTCCCCACTAGAAAAATCTCCCAAGTACTATGAAGACACACACACAAAAAAAAAAAAAAAAAAAAAAAAAAAAAAAACCATTATTAATGATTTTCTCCAGCCCAGTATACAGGTTGGTGAACAGACTTAAGCTAGCTTGAAATCTGGGCAACTTTCCATGCACAGTTACACAATATCACCTCCCAGCGCCCCTCCAGCCAAGCACAGCCCAGAGCCCACTTTTCTCTCCGATTGCACTAAAGAGCTTGGTCTGGCCCTTGCAGCTTTGACAACACCTCATTATAGTGATGCGAGTCTTGTCTGATAACTAATTTTGAAAAATCGGCTCTCTCCCAGTAGGAATGGCTAGTTATACAGTCTGTGCTTTTGCAAAGCCATTGGTTCTGACTTCCTGCATTAAACCCGTGCACAGTGCACAGCCAAATAAAGTTCTGGTGGCTATCCAAATCCTGACTGTCAACTGTTGACCTCAACTGCTTCCCCTCTGATACCACCATCTGTTGTCATGAGAAAGATGGTTTGATATTTGGGTTAAATGCCACTGAAGTCCTTTCTTTAATTTCCATGGCGCGGGGGGGGGGGGGGGGGGGCGACACTAAAATAAATTGCCCTGTGAGGTGTGGAAGCTGTTTTTCCCAGAGATAGTGAAATGAACAAAACATCCTAACAAAAACAGAACAAAACGTCACAGAAACCTCCTGATTTGTGCCTGTGGGAGTGCGTGCATGCGCGCGTGTCCGTGTGCGTGTGCGTGTGCGTGTGCGTGTGCGTGTGCGTGTGCGTGTGTGTGTGTGTGTGTGTGTGTGTGTGTGTGCGCGCGCGCGCGTGTGTGCTATCAAGGTTCAGGTATACCAGAGGCTATACCAGAGCTGTGTGAAGAGGAGAGGGATGCCCGGGGCTCTCGAACCATGTTGGCCTGTGTCACCATGCCTAGCCTGGGAGCCTATCCACAGCGAGCCAGACCCCTTTTGACACTTTCCCTCCTCTGGGATGCAGCTATTTAACATGCAAAGTTTTCTCCAGCCTGCCTGGCTCTCACGCGATCATTTCAGCAGCCGAAGCCGCGTCCTTCCTTCCGAAAAGGCTGCCAAAGAACATGAAATCCTGGGAGACCCTTGTCGCCGCTCGCTGGCACGCACGCAGACCCGGAGTCGCCTGTCCCGCAGGCTCTGACCCTAGGCTCGGCCCGCCCTGCATCGCGCCCTTTTCCCCGGGTCCCGGGGACGCTGCCTTTCAGCAACCTCACCTTTTCTCTCCGCCACCGGGGCTTCGGGGGCCCATCCGATGATCAAACAGAGAAGCCAGAGGGCTCGAGCTGTCATTTTTGTAGACAGGGTTCCCAGGGCTGGAAAAACGCAGCAAGGGCTTTGGCTCGCTTCCTCTCCCCCCACCCCTTCTCCACACCCCCCACCCCCGTTCATGCTAATGAGGGGCAGCCTTTGGGGAAACGGGCATCTCTGGCTGCACAGACCATTGAAACAAAACCGAGCGGCGGGGATCTCCCCCTCTCCCCCAGGGCGGTCGGGTGTGTGGTCCGGGCCGGGATCTGTGGGCCAGAAGAACACCGCGGCCTTGACTCTCGCTCTGGGTGGGTGGTGTGCGAGGGGTGAGGTGACCAGGCGAGGGGAGACTGAGGGTTTTGAGGGAGCTGAGAGGAAAAGGATGAAGGAAAGTGAGTGATGAAGTCAACAACAAATAAATCAGTGCTTAGAATAGCTTGGGCTTGTGGAGGGGAGGGGAGGGGACGCCAGATGACAAAAAATGCATTCCAGAACGTGTGAGGCAATTGCCAGACAAACCAAGTTTGGCAAAGCCGTTTGACTATATGTGCAATCTTGATATTCTAGAACCAGAAACGGGGCTGGCGGGGGGCGGGGAGTCAGGAGAAACCTTAACAAAATATTTTTTCTTGCCAGCTCTATCCTCCTCCTCCTCCTCCTCCTCCTCCTCCTCCTCCTCCTTCTCTCTCCTCCTCCTTCTCTCTCCTCCTCCTTCTCATTTTCGCTCTTTGCTCCATCCATCCATTGATAACTGGTATTCAGTTGACCAGATTCAAGTGTATACTGAATGCATAAAGATTGGCAATCCGACCGGGCGGTGGTGGTGCAGGCCTTTAATCCCAGTACTCGGGAGGCAGAAGCAGGAGGCTCTCTGTGAGTTTGAGGCCAGCCGGGTCTACAGAGTGAGTTCCAGGACAGCCAGAATTGTTACACAGAAGAAGAAGAAGAAGAAGAAGAAGAAGAAGAAGAAGAAGAAGAAAAAAAAAAGATTGATAATCCACCTTTCCAATCTTGGGGGCATCTGGTTGCTTGGGGAAAGGCCCACTTTTTATTTCTAAGAAAAGCACATTCCTTTCGGGCTTCCTGACACAGCATCTTACCTAGATTGGTCTGAAGTTAAAGGCACCTTTCCCTCAGATGAAATAAAAACAACCAAGGGGAGTGTGAGGGGAGCATGTCCCCAGAGCAAGTCCAAAGCCTCAGGAATTACATCTCAGTCCACAACTTCAAACCTAAATGGAAGCAGGAATGCTCTGAGATGAAGCGTTTTGTGTGAGGTACCCAAGGTTACCGAAGGAAGCCTCGGCGTTCAGTGGCACCGACATCCAGGGCCCAGAAAACGGCGCTGGTGTACTGAGTAGATATTGTGGTAATCTTCTCAGAAAAGACATGGAGAAGCCGGAGTAGGCACGCTGGTGCGGGCAAAGCAGGGCTGCATCACGTTTGACTTCTTTTGAAGGGATAAGGAGAGGAAGTCTTATGGCAGACCCATCGGTTATGTTCTGTGAGGCAGGAGTTATGGACCACCTGGCTCAGTTTTAGTTTCCAAAAGAATATTCTAGGGGATGTAGCTCAGTTAGTAAAAGGCTTGCCTAGCATGCATGAAGGGCTGGGCTGGATTGCATGCACTTCATGAGGCAACTGTGGTAGAGCTCACCCATAACTCTAACACTCTGAGGCAGAGGCAGGAAGATGAGGGTTTTAAGGACATCCTCAGTTGCATAGAGAGGGAGTTCAAGGCCAGCCTGGGATACACAAGACCTTGTCTCGAAAGTATTCACAGTATATATTCACAGCTGGTATCCCAAAGAAACAGGCTGTTTTAAAAATCAAAACAAACTAGGGCTGGAGAAATGGCTTATAGGTTGGGTAATTACTGTTCTGCCATTTCAGTTCCCATCACCCACAAGGCAAACTGACTCACAGTTGTCTGTTCTGGTTCGAAGGGAACAGGCACCAAACCCTTCTTCTGACCTTCTCGGGCTCCTGCACACATGCATGGCACTTACGTACACTCAGGCACACACACTTACACAAAAACTCAATAAGGTATTTTAAAATCTAAACTAAAGCACTGATATCAGACTGCAGACAGCATGGAGGATTTGTAACCATGCACCTGGCCAGGAAGGGACCCAAAGAGAGCCACTGTAGAAAAGGACCCTGAAGTGGGCTGCAGCAAGGCAAGCATGTTTACCAGAGAGGTGAAGGAGATGGGAGGGGGACAGTTTGGTCATGGAGCACCTGTCTAATGTGAACGACAACACATCAAAAGTGCCAACATTGCGAGCATTGGTGGTGCACGCCTTTAATCCCAGCACTCGGGAGGCAGAGGCAGGCAGATCTCTGTGAGTTCGAGGTCAGCCTGGTCTACAGAGCGAGTTCCAGGACAGGCTCCAAAGTAATTCGGAGAAACTCTGTCTCAAAAACAAAAAAAGAAAAAAAGAAAAACAACAAGTGCCAACAAAAACAACAGCCAGGCCGTGGTGGCACACATCTTTAGTCCCAATACTTGGGAGGCAGAGACAGGTGGATCTCTGTGAGTTCAAGACCAGTCTGGTCTACAGAGTGAGTTCCAGGACAGCCAGGGCTACACAGAGAAACCCTGTCTTGAAAACAAAACAAAACAAAAATGAAAAGAGAGCTGGGTATGTTAGAGAGATGGCTCAGTGATTAATATCACTCTGTTCCCAGCATTCTCTTGTCAGCTTACAACCATCTGTAACTCCAGTTCCAAGGGATCTGACGCCATCTTCTGGCCACTTCTGATACCGCTTGCACATGATCCACACATTCATGGGAGCAAAACTTGTACACATACAATTTTTGTTTTGTTTTGTTTTGTTTTTAAGGTTCATCTTTTTATTGGACATGTTAACAAGAGTCTTAGTCAAAAAGACCAAAGCCCATGTCATCAGCAGACTCCTCAGATTCTTCTTTCTTTGCTTCTACTCTCTTCTCCTCAGCTGGGGCAGCGGTAGAGGGGGCAGGACCACCTGCTGGCGCAGATGAGACTCCCAATGTTGACATTGGCCAAGGCCTTTGCAAACAGGCCAGGCCAGAAAGGTTCAACATTGACACCAGCTGCTTTAATGAGGGCATTGATCTTATCCTCCATGACCGTCACCTCGTCGTAGTGAAGGATGAGGGTGGAGTAGATGCAGGGGAGCTCAGAGACAGAGGCAAGGTGCTAGTCGCCGGATGAAGTGAGGGCCTCACCCCAACGCAGCCTTAGCTTCCCTCGGAAGAACCGAGCACCTTGGCGGCAGCTGAGGAAAGCTATACATACAATTTTTAAAAAGAGAAAGAAAGAATAGCTTCCCCAGTCACACCAGCCTTGTAAACATGATTCAGTGGCTCCCGACTCAGGACACAGCCAGGTAAGTCACCTTTAGTTTCAAGTTCTGGGTGCTCAAACTCTAGATGTGAGCTGATCTAATTCTCCCACGTGCTTTTTGTTTTTGTTTTTTTCCACGCCAAGTGGAATTAGGCTTGAGCTTTCTCAGTTACAACCACATTTTAGATATGCCTTCCTGAGACTACATTCAAGTCACCCAGATCCAGTTTAAGGTGTTTCTGGAATTCCACTGTTAGAATTGTGACTACCCACAGCCCATACCCAGAAATACAGCCGCAGAGAGTGTGTCAAGATATTGCCCAGGGCTCCTAGAAGCTCCTAAGGTAGTACCAACTCAGAGAACTTCCCAGAATCCAAGGCCAGCTCTTGGCCAGTGTGCTGATTAGGCAAACTAGAGTCACCTGGGAAGAAAGAGGCTCAATTAAGGGGATTGCCTCCCTCTGATTGAACTACAAGCACCTAAGGCTCATTTTCTTGATTCTCTATTGATCTGGGAGGACCCAGATCTCTGGGGGTAATGCTACCCCTGGGCAGGTGTCCAAGGTGTATAGAAAACAGGCTGGAAAAAAAAAAGAAAGAAAACAGGCTGAGCAAACTTTGGGGAGCCGGATAGCAAACAGTGTTCCCCCATAGCCTAATGGTTGGAGCCAAAGGGGCTGATCTACTTAGAATAGCTATGAGTGTCTATTTATTTTATTTTATGTATGTGGGTGTTGCCTGCATGTATCTATGTGGACCATGTACACGCCTGGTACCTATGGAGGACCAGAAGAGGGTGTTGGAGCCCCTTAGAACTCCAGTTACAGTTATGAGATGCCCTGTAGGTGCTGGGATTCGAACTCTTGTCCTCTGGAAGACCAGCAGGTGCTCTTACCTGCTGAGCCTTCTTTCTGTTCAGCTCCAAATACCAGCTTTTTCATTTACAACGAGAAATTGACTCGAGCAAATTCCCTGTCTATAAATCAGCCACGCTGGGGGATGGGGCGAGCATGTAACTGAAGCACTTGGGAGGTTGAGGAGGAATAGCCCAAGTTCACAGCCAGCTGGGGCTACATAACAAGTTCAAGGGAACCTTGGAATGTGTAATGAGACCCTGTTTCAAAAGAAAAGAAAATAGTTTTCCTTTCCATTGTCTACCCACAAAGTGTTTCATAATGGGCTTCAGAGCAGTCGTTCCGGGCGTGGAATGTAGGGTCACGTTGGTTTTTCATGGCATCCTTTGTTCACCTGCGTGATAATACTCTGTATTCTGGTCAGCTGGAAGAGCCCTGGGGGCTGTTTTCCTTCCCCCTGACAATTTCTGATGTTTGAGTGTACCTTCTGCTTGGCAAATATTTGTCGAATGTGTACTGTGTTCTGGAATTTACCAAGGGATAGAAATGTCTTGGTTTCCTAAACTCTGTGGGTCACATCTGCACTCTATGGTAATGAGGCAGGGCAGCCAGCCCTTGGAGGGTCCCCCCACACCTCCATAGCTTTAGGATGAGACTGAGTCACCAGGAAATCACAGCATCTGAGGGATGGGATTTGAGCCATCCCCATAATCTCTAAGGAGGAGAAAGAAGTATGCTGGAGATTAAGTTTGGTCACATGGCCATGATTTCATTAGTCACACCTTCTGAGTGGAACCACAATACAATCTCTAGGCTCTAGAAGCCCAGTGAACCATCTCCGATGGTAAACA